TATTGATATATTTAATTTTATTTAAAAGTATCTTATAATTGGAGATAGAGATAGTATAAGAGAAACATCTAAGCATAATTATAAATTAAAAAAAACATTAATTATATTCTGTCAAGTTGTCTCTCATAAATAGATAGGATTGTTAAATTAGAGAAAAATGGTAAATGTAAATTTCAATGCATTTTATTCCAAACGTTTCAATTTTAGACATGATTATAAGAATTAATTAACTTTCTTAAATTATGTGAGATTGGTTGAAATTTTCTTACATTTAAAAACGAAGAGAGTATTACAACATAGGACCAAAAGCTTGCAATCTTTGAAGCTATCACTACAACAACAAAAAATTCTATTTAAAAGAGATGCTTAAAAGTTTGTTTTAAACTAGTAAAAAATTTATCTCTAAACATGTAGAGATGGATTTAGAAATCAGTATCATGGATTTTTCAATTTGTCACTTAGTAAAGATGGATTTATTCTATCTTGAAATAAAAAATATCATTTCTAATTTTGCATGAAAAATTCATTGCTAAAAAATGTTCTCAAAATTAAATAAAATGATAGAGATGAAATATATTCGTCGCTAAATCCATGTCCAAAAATGCAAACTAAATTATTGGAACTTACAACTACATCATCACTTAATTGGCACCTACTACCACATCACTACCAATTCATACCCACCACAACACCTCTATGCTCCACTGTCATGTCACTATTTACTAGGCACCTGTGCCATGTCATTAATAAAAAATAATTAATATATGCTTATATTAATTAACATAAAATATTTTAATTTAATTTTTTTTCTCTAGACATAAGTATTATAGTTGATCGATTTTCTTAAACTATATAATATAATTTTTTTTCTTATATAAAAAAACAGAGGGAATATATTAATAAAAATAGTATTTATTTTAAAATAATTAATTCTAGTCATTTAAATATTATTTATAGTTATTTTATAAACAAAGTTATTTTTTAATTCTTCTTAATATTTAATTTCATATGTGTTTTGGACTTTTTATTTTTTTTATTTCAGATTATTTTCTTATTTCAATAGGTGGTTATACAATATTGTTAGTGACTTCTTTAAAAAAACATTTTGAAAAAAAATTATATCTAGGTCCCACATAAGAAAATTTATTACTAAGAGGTCCCATAAAATTCACAAAATACTTTCAAGACTCAAATTTTGTGTATTTACAATTTAACTAAAGGCATTAACAACTGAGCAATGATCATTTACAACTTGTAAAGAAAAATAATAATTTATAATAGTAAGTTGTAAATAGCCATTGCCCTATTCCTAATGCCCTTAGTCAAGTTGTAAATATACATAGGATTTGAAAGTTGAGAGTATTTTGTGAATTTTACAGAATCTCTTAGTAATAAATTTCCTTATGTGGGACTTAAATGTAATTTTTCTAAAAGTTTTTGTCATTTGGTAAAAAAATTATTAAATATTATAAAATACCAACGAGAAGTATGAATTAAACAAAAGAAAAAAAACGTTCAATAATTTATTGTAGAGAGTAAATTAATGAATACCAAATAGAAATTTAAAAAGTAATAATGATTAAACTTAGAGAAAGAGTGAGTGGAAGAGAGAGAGGTTTAAATGATGTGCAAATCATCTTAAAGCATGGTATAAATTCCAAATATCAATACACATACTTCAAATTTTTTATCTTTCCATTAAGTGTGAATCTCACTAAACAATGATTAAACATTTTCTACACCTTTTAAAATTAATTTGCATCTTAATATCATTTAAACATGTGTTAAAACAATTGATATATCAAAAATTTAGAAATATAAAATATAAATCCATCTCTACTTTGAATGAGGCCTAGTAATTTTTATAAAGATATAGAAAGGGAATTAGAGATGTTTAAATTTTTGTCTCTAAATTAAAAAAAATGTATCAAATTCAATATCTAAGTTTAAAAAAAAGTAAAATTAGTATAGAAAAGTTCATGGAGATGATTAGTTTAGAAATAAAATTTATTCATCTATTAACTTGGCTCTAATATTTTTATTTTTAAAATTAAATTTTTAATACATAATTTGAGTTTTTTTTAAGAGATGAATGTAATCCATCTTTTAATATGTTTCTATGTTTTAAAATATTTTTTAAATTAAATCTATCTCTAAAAGTATAATTTGTCTTTCATTCAGTCTCGATAAAGATGATAATAATTAGCCTGTCTCCAATTTCTATATTTATTATTAATTTTTTTGTAGTGTATGTTTAGTTTAAAGGAGAAAGAGAGAGATTTTAATTTGACTCCCCTCCTCTCCAAATTTCTCAACCAAACAGGGGGAACCCTTCCAACTCACATCCCTCCATAATTTGTCTAAAAAAGCTGAGTTTTTTACAATCATGCAAATTAATTATACATTAATAAATTTACGGGCCAAAGACATCGGGAAGTTCTTTTACCCTCGGTTAAAGAGTTATCACACTATTGGTGGGTTAAGTCAATATAAGATGTTAAAAATAATTCTATTTACAGAGAACTTTACTATTTTTCATGTGCATCTTTATTTTTACGAAAAAAATGATAATAAAATTCCTCTAAAATATATAAATGATAATTTGATCCTTTAAAATGTTAAAATTTTTATTTGCTATTACATTATTGTGAATATAAGAAGAAAAGTTGTGAATATTTAAACAAAACTTGTGAATTATTTATTTTCAAAAAGGGTAATTTAGTAATTTATATAAATTTATTAATAACAACTAGGGACTTTTGGAAAATTATGACATTTTGATGGACCAAATTATCATTTATATATTTTGAAGGGATTTTATTGTCATTTTCCATCTTTATATATGTATTTATTAAATACTATGATAAATATTAAAAATAATTCTTTTTGTCCTTGATAGGGAGTAAAGATAAAAATTTATTAAATTTTAAAATAGAATTAATAAAGTTTAAGGTTCTCCTTAATTTCAATAGAATATGTTAGAAATGAATTTTAAATATGGGGAGTATTTATCAAATATGTCTCAGATATATATCAAATTAAACCTAATAAATGTTTCACAAAGTTATTTGCATTAACAAATGTCAACCAATCCCACGCGTGTTCTAGTTACGTATCTCCATCACCAAAAAGTCATCTCAAAAGTTTTGGCCTTCGACAGAGTATCACAGAACAACGTGGACTAACACGGACGAAAAACCAAGGACTTCAACGTATTCCAGTGCTACATGTGAACGTGTCACAATCTTCACGTCTTCGTTAAAATTAATTGCCTGAGCTTGTTGATGAGTTTTGTGGACTTGGTCAACTTGGCTCGTGAGGCCAATTTAATACAGATCAAGGTTAATTAAATGGGCTAACTCATTTCAACTTTTCCTAGTTAAACACAACAACAAACTATATCTTATTATGTGGGGCCGGTTACATAAATTACACAATATCATTATGATATTCCATTAACAAACAAACCTTTCCATATGTTGTTATCCTAAAAGTCTTGTTTAACAATTTTGTCATTGAGTGTTCTCTTTAGTCTTGTATTATCTTTCTTCCATTCAAGACTATATATTTCATTATTTTCATAGGTGCCTCTCATGCTATTTTTTGTACATGTTCAAACCATTTTAAATAATTTTTTACTATTTTCTTTAGTAGATGTCACACTTTCTTGTATATGACCATTATGAATCTTATCTTCTATTGTGCCCACACATCCATCTCAACATTTTCATCTATATTACTCCAAATTTATGATATACTTGATCTTATAGCAATTTGATACAATTTTCTTTTATACTTATTAGGTAATTTCTGATCATAAATAAGTCTTGTAACCTTTAATTCTCTATTTGAAATACCTAACTTATATTATTTGTAATATCTTCATTAATTTCACCATCATTTTGAATAATTACTTCGCCCTATGTTTTATAGCTGATCCAAAGCTTGGATATGGGAGAAAGAGGGTTATATTAGGTCTTTAATAAGTCAACATAAAACTCTCTTGAATCTCACATAAATATAGACAACTTTCCTAGTTAATATTGTAAGAAAATCTAAATGCGATCCATCAGGATCCTACCAGTAAATTCATATATTTCTCCACTTCGATTGATCCGTTGAATGAAAGGATCAGACATTGTGTAAGTTGTTGAACTTCCAATGAAAATTTGCGGCTAACTTAGCAAATATAAATAAATAAATAAATCACGCGCACACACCCAAAAGAAGGATTAAAGTTTTGTAGTAAAGTATAATTTTTGGACTACTACAATCCAAATATGTTTAGGAATTTGGAACGATTGTTGGGATTAGTTATTTCACTAAGGATCTCATATGGAAAGGATCAATTATTAATTATACACGAACTTTCTCTTGATTTGCGTGGCAAATTCTCTCCTGATCGCCCTATTTTGCTTCTCCACGCTCCCATTATATCATTATAATAGGTTTGAGCTAGCTAGAGTCTATTGCCCACTGTTTTTCTCGTGACAAATTTCCCTCGAGGGCTGATATTCTCAATAGTCTAATTTCTATTTTTCTTAATAATAACATGTAATTTAGCTGTGACTTGAGCAACTGAAAAGCAAAAAAGTGCAAATTAATTTGAGACCCATGATTTTGACTCATTCAATATCCATAAAGAAGAAAACATGTTCACCCGTTTTTCTCTCCCCTATTAAAAGAATCATGATTCTCAGAACTTGTAAAACAAACTTATATCCAGTCACACAGAGTGTGTGTGTGTGTGTGTGTGTTCATGTAAAATAGTGAGCAGAGGATATTTTTCTTGGTTGTGTGTCGCTATCAGGCTGATCTATATATTTATTGCAATCCCAACTTGTCATTATTTTTGATCTTACCACCTAAACAGTCACAGAAAATATCTATCGTCCGTCTATTCATCCAACTAAGAAAACTAAGGAAGTTGGCTTTATCTATATAAGCTCGCCTTGTCTCTATTGTTCTGACTCATTATATGTCTTTAGAATCTCGTCAGTGTTCAATCTCAAAATTGTCCCAAATCAGAACACCATGAAAGTGTTTTCTGCTAAACGCATGGTTCTGGTCTCTACTCTATTATTGCTTCTCTTTCTCCTTCATTCTTCTTGTGATTCACTTGATAGAATAACCCCAAGCCAACCCCTTAGAGATGGCGATATTTTGCTCTCCTACCAAGCAACCTTTGCCCTCGGTTTCTTCACCCCCAGCAACAATTCCAGAAACCGCTATGTCGGAATATGGTTTCATAGATTCTCTAAACAAACCCTAGTTTGGGTAGCCAATAGAGAAAATCCTGTTAATGATACTTCTGGAGTTTTATCTATCAGTGCCCATGGAAACATGGTTGTTCTTGCTCTTAATGATATAAATTCTAACCTGAACCCTATTTGGTCTTCCAGTGTTTCCATCACATCTTCCAATGAAACCTACTTTGCTAAGCTTCTAGACATAGGAAACTTGGTTTTAGGTAAAAATGGAGGAAGGCATGAAAAGGTTTTGTGGCAGAGTTTTGATTATCCAACTGACACAATCCTTCCATTTATGAAGCTCGGGTTGGACCGCAGAACCGGGTTCAACTGGTTCCTTAGGTCATGGAGATCCCCCCACGACCCAAGATTTGGGAACATGAGTCATAGGATCAACCCAACAGGATATCCTCAAATATTCACTTACAAAAACGGAACTCCATTTTGGCGATGTGGGTCTTGGACGGGTCAAAGATGGAGTGGCATACCTGTCATGACACCTAATTTCGTCTTCAACGTTAGCTATGTTGACAATGCCAATGAAGTTTCCATAATGATTGGGATTCGAGACCCTACGATCTTCTTAAGAATGGTCCTCGACAATGATGGTCTAATTAGACGAACAATCTGGCAAGCTAAAGAGCATAGATGGTTTGAAATTTGGTCGGGTCCGACAGAGGATTGCGACAACTATCGAAGATGCGGGTCAAATAGCATATGTGACCCATATACAAGCAACAAACTTGAGTGTGTGTGTTTGCCTGGATATGTGAGAAACGGGTCGAGTGGATGTGTGAGGAAGAAGAATGTGTCCACGTGTCGAAATGGGGAGGGGTTTGTGAAGGTTGCACTTGTGAAGGTTCCAGATACGTCAACGGCACGTGTGGATAAGAATATGAGCTTGTACTTGAAAGGATGTGAAGGGAAGTGCTTGAAGGATTGTTCATGTGTAGCGTATACGAGTTTAAATGAGGTAACGCAAAGTGGGTGCTTGACATGGCATGCTGATATGGAAGATATTAGGAGATTCAATCATGTGGGACAAGAACTGTACGTGCGTGTTGATGCAGCTGAAATGGGTACATTCTTTTTCTTTTTCTTTTAAAGTTAAATGATAATTTGGCTCCTAAACTATAATTTCAAGAGTATTTGGATTCTAAATTCATTTTTGATGCAATGTTTGCCTTCAACATTAATTTTAAAAATGATATAATATTATGCTACTGTTGATAAAAGTTAACTTTGACTAAAAAATTGCAAAAAAGAATTTCAAAATTATAGAAAAAGATCAAGAAAATTTAATTTTTTTGGGTATTTTTCTGTAATTTTTTGAGTTGTTATCTGTGATGTTGTGTCCTTATTTGTAAATTTCTGTCCTTTTCTATACTTTTTAAAATTCTTTTTCATAATTTTCTAGTCAATAAATAATTAAAAGTTAACTTTTGCTAATAATAGGTTACACCCATAGTTTTTAAAAGTTAAAGGAAAATATTATATCAAAAATGAGTTTAAGTTATCATACACTCTTGGATCTACAGTTTGAGGGCCACTTTATGACTTAACCCTTCTTTTAATGCATAAACTAAAAGCCATAACTTTTGAACTCATAAAACCATGAATTCGGATAATTAGTGTGTTCCATGCATTGCATAGGATTTGAAATGGGTCACATTGTCATTAATAGAACAATTTATCATAGGGTTAAAGAACATTTTTTTTTCTAAAATTTTTTTGAGTGCTAGGCATCGTAGGGTGGGGACAATATCCCTCCTAACAATTTTTTTAGGAGCAAAATCTCACTTCCCTCAAAGACTCATCATCTTTTTCATTATCTACTAACGTGAAATAGTTATGAGATTCATGCATAGTGATAGCAAAACATTTTGACCTATTTTAACCATTTGACGTGGTCAAAGGGCTTGAAGTGGCAAAAACCAAACTTGATTTTAGTAGTGAAATGGCAGCAAAATTTGTCAAAAGACCTATTCTTCACCTATTTAACTTTTTATTTTAACATTATTTCTATTTTATTTCACAAATTTTTACCCAAAACATTCCAATAAAGTTGAATCTAAACATGCCAGAGTTATTAATAGTATTTAATTATTTGCTGCTTTTATTATGAACTTTTTAATTTAATATTACTTCTATTTTTACCCTAATAATTAGGAGAAAAATATGAACTTGAAGTTAATAAGAGACATAAAGTCCACGGAAAGTATAAAAAATTCAGCCTCAATATTGTAAATGATATGAAGCTTTTTTAGTATTTTAACAGCATATAAGATTTCCTTGCTACTGTTTTAAACAATACTATTGCATTATAAACAATACTATATGATATATATGAAGCTTTTCTACGATCAAAGCTAAATTGTATTTCGTTCAACTACCTCCATTGCTTACAGACTACTTCATAATGCACTTTGAACTCTAAAGCATACATGTTTCTTCTCTGGAGATTGATTCTGGTTTGATATAATCTTATTGATCTGCAGCTAAATATGAAAAGAAGCCTTATGGTTCTCTTGGCAAGAGGGGGATGGTAGCACTTGTGGTTGTTTCTACCTTCCTATTAATGTTCATGTTGATCTCCTTTGTGTATTGGTTTGCAAAGAAAAAGGAACAAGGTATTATAAATTTTTGATTCAATGCTCTCACCCAGCACACATAATTTACTCGATATATTTTTCTTAATTTCATTGCTTTATATTGCTGTATGTACATAATCATTTGTTGTGAGTATATGGATAGGTAAATTGTATTACAGGTCATGACTTGTCGTTTTTTTTTTTACTACAGAACAAAGAAGGCCTAGCGAACATTTGCTTGACGGAGAAAATAATTCAGATTTACCGTTATTTGATCTAAATGATATAGTTGAAGCAACAAGCAATTTCTCGGATGCTAACAAGCTTGGGCAAGGAGGTTTTGGCTCTGTTCATAAGGTAGCCTTTGCTTTGTAAGAAGCATTAAATATCATTAGTTAAGGCAAAAGAAATCACAAATTGATTATGGATTTTGACTTTAGGGTGTACTCAACGATGGAACGACAATAGCAGTGAAGAGGCTGTTAAAGTACTCTGGACAAGGCATTGAAGAATTCAAAAATGAGATTGCTTTAATTGCCAAGCTCCAACATAGAAATCTTGTAAGGATCTTAGGATGCTGCATCGAAGGAGAAGAGAAGATGTTGATCTACGAATACTTGCCAAACAACAGCTTAGACTCTTTCATTTTCGGTACCTCTTCTATTCATTTTTCGGCATAAGCTACAATGAAACTTAGCATGCGCGCATTCTTCACTTCTAATGGTTTAAAATTTTTATTCAGATCATGCAAAAAAATTGCAATTACATTGGAGGAAACGATTTGATATCATTTGTGGAATTGCAAGAGGCATTTTATATCTTCATCAACATTCGAGATTAAGGATAATTCATAGAGATTTAAAGGCCAGTAATATCTTGTTGGACTCTACATTGAACCCAAAAATTGCAGATTTTGGCATGGCTAGAATATTTGGTGGAGACCAAATTGAAGCAAGCACTAATTATGTTGTTGGAACCTAGTAAGTACTCAACAATGCAAAGACGATTTTAGCTTATGAGCAATATATTACACGGATTCCCAATTCCACAATTTCACATAAAAATGATCATAATTAAACAAATAAAATGTTTAATTAGTTGTAATCATTTTGACATCATCATCAACATCAATATCTTTGTAATTGAATAGGACCTCATGAGTTAGATAGGTTAGTAATTTGCATGTGATATAATATGCTAGAAATATCAATTTATCAAATCATATATTCTTAGTTAAGAATTTAAATATTTCATATTGAAATTTTTGTTTGTAACCTTTAAAATCTCCTCTTATAGTGGTTACATGTCACCTGAATATGCAATGGAAGGATTGTTCTCAATAAAGTCAGATGTATATAGCTTTGGGGTTTTACTTCTTGAGATTGTTACTAGCAGAAAGAATAGTGGCCATTATGATGACATCCCTTCTACTTTGGTTGGACATGTAAGTTTCTGTAAGGAACAACCACTATAAAATTGAACTAATTACTCCTCCATAGTCTAATTATCTAACGCCTTCAATTAATTTAGATTTGGGACCTATGGAGAGGAAGCAGAGCCATGGAAATTGTTGATCCAGCATTAACGGATAAGCCATGCCTTGAACATGAATTTCTAAAATGCATCCAGATTGGACTATTATGTGTACAAGAGTACGCATCAGATAGACCAGCTATGTCAGAAGTTGTTTCCATGTTGGAGAATGACTCAAATCTTCTTCCCCCTAAACAACCAGCTTTTGTTTTCAAGAGAACTACTTGTGATCATTCAAACCCATCAGTTGGTGAAGAAGTTCATTCGGTGAATGGAATGAGTACTACAGTGATTGAAGCTCGCTGAAGCTTGAAACCCACATCAAAACATAAATGGTACTAATTGAACTCTTTTAGTGCTACTTATTGTGAAGTGAATGATTCTAGCTAGACTTTCCAACTTTTGTAAAAGTTAATGATGCATATATAATTTCCTATTATTGGACTCAAAAAGCAAAGTTGGGTGTACAAATTAAACTTGCTAAATTATGATTAGGCCTGGATACATGGCAATATCAATAATCAATTATTAATTCCTAGTAAAATTAGATTCTTTGTTTTCGCATCATTGGTCATGGAACATATACATGGTGTAATAACATCTGAAAATTCTTTGAAATAAAGATTAAAAACAAAAACGACACATATATCTTGTGATGATGATATGGAATTTAATTAAAATCAAATTTGTTGGTAAGATATCATCATGTTATTTTATATGTATCTATATAATTTGGTGGAGATCTATCAAAAAGAAGAGTTGGGTCTAGTGGACTCTATGCACCCACTTCTCTAATAGGTCATAGGTTCAAATCTTCATGGGACTTTGAGTTCGTGCGTGTGTTGCCTCTTCTACCATTTTGGCTGCAATGCTGCCATGGGTGAGCCACTACCAAAAAAAAAATGTTGTTTAAACACACAATAATCCGTCTTTAAATAAATAGAGATGGATATAGCGGTATTTTAAAAAATTGTTATTAAATAATTAGATTTGATCTCTTGATTTTTCATCTTTCAAACTTTAAATCTTCCTTCTTTGCTAGTTAAATTGAAATATACATGCAATTATTATATGTAAAACTAAATATATGTTACTTAACTACATACACATATATAAAATATTATATTATTAAAAAGATATATATATATATATATAGATTATATTTTATTTTAAATTATTATGAAAATATTTATATGACTATTTATATTATATTTTTAATAAAATATTATGTTTGTTTGGAAAATGAACTTAAAATGAAACAAATTTTTAATATAAAAATATTATTTTTAAAATAAAAATAATTAAGTATATAATTTATTTAAAAATATGTATTATTTTAGTTTATATTAAATACTTTTTACTTTTATCTTCTCCATATTATTCTCAAAAAATAAATAAATAAATAATTTTTTATCTTCTCCCAAAATGGTTAAATGTTTTCCATTATTTTCTTACAAATAAATTTTATCTACAATTTTTTAATTATTTTTTAAAATTATTTTAACAAAAAATAATTATGGCCATATAATTTTTTTAATTTCCTTTTCGAAAAATTTTTTAACAAAATATTTAAATTAAATATTTAATTCAAATATTTTAATATGAATTTTCTATTTAAAAATTATTTTTTAAAAAATTATTTTTTATCAAATTTATTTAATATGAAAAAAATTTAAAATATTTAAAATATTTTAAATACACAGACATACATATACCTATATATTAATACATAATTCTATTTATCATGAATTAATATATTTTATTTATATAATTTTAAATTATACTATATATCAATAAAATAATTTATGTTCTTATATACTTCAAAATTTATCTTTCTTTTCTCCTTTGTTTGATAAAAATGAACATTAATCATATACTCTTTCTGTTTAAAAATGTAAGATATTTTTTGAAGAGTTAGATGTTTAAAAATATAAGACATTTTTAGTCTTTTGAGATGTAATCATTGCCTTTTTTGTAAAAGTATCGCTATTGATAATGACTTTATATTTATTGTAGAGTATTTAATAAGGGTAAATAATGAAAGATAAGGTTAGTTGGAAAGTAGGTAACTACTTTATTGAAGGGTGAGATTCGGTTAAAAATATTTTATATTTTGAACGAAGGGAGTATATATATAATTAGCATAAAAATGATATTTTTAATCAAAATAATTAATTCTAGTTGTATAAATATTGTTTATAGTCATTTCAAATGTATTTTTTATTAATTCTTCTAATATTCAATTTCATAGATGTTTTGGAGTTTTGATATTATTTTTATTTTAATGTGTTATAAAATGTTGTTATTGACGTCTTTCAAAACAGTTTTATTATCTGGTAAAATTTTATCAAAAATTAAAAAAAGTAATAAAGGAAAATATGAATAACACAAAAGACACAAAACATTCAATCAATTACAGTTATAGAATAAATTAATGAATATTAAATAGAAATTTAGAAAATGAGAATGGTTAAATTTAGAGAAAGAGGGAAAGAAGAAGAGAAAGATTTAAATGATGTGTAAAATATTTTTAAATGCTCTATAAATTATAAAGATAAATGTTTTTAAACACAAACATCAAATTTTTGTAATTTGCATTGAATGGGAAGCTCAATAAATAATGATAAAAATTTTTCTACATCTTTTAAAATTAATTTGTATTTTAATATATTTCAAACATGTATTAAAATAATTGATAATCTAAAAATTAAAAAAAATTAAAAATATGACTCCATCTCTAAATTTGTCTCTACTTTGAATTAGGGATATAGTGAGAAACAAAAATAATTCTAGCTCTAAGATATTTATTTCAGTCATCTCTAATTCTGTTTCTAAATTAATAAAAATAAAATTATTAAATTTTGAAGAAATTTGGAGAGAAAATTAGAGATGGTTAAATTTTTGTCTCTAAATTCATAATATATATATATATATATATCTCAAATTTAGTCTCTAAATTTAAAAAAAATATAAAATTAATATTAGGGATGGATTTGGAGATGGCTAGTTTAGAGATGAAATTTATTCATCTCTAAACTTGTCTCTAACATTTTAAATTTTTTAAAATTAAATTTTTAATGAATAATGATAGAAGTTGAGATAGATTTTGTGACATTTTTTAAAGATGTATATAAGTCATCTCTAATTATGTCTCAATATTTTTTAAATTAAATTTATTTCTAAAAATATAATTAGTCTCTAGGCCGTTTATAATTTTCGTCTCTATTTTAATAATTTTTGTAGTGAGTCCTAAAGCTTTGTCTATCATGTTTCAAGACTAAAGCTTTTATGGGAGTTAGTGCACTGCTATAGGGCTTTCGAATGGTGGTTGTCTCTCTTCCCTTGCGCCACCGTCACCCTTCTTCTACCTCTATTTTCTTTAAGATGTTTGGAGGAAAAAAAAAGACTCGACTAAGGTTGTAAGGAGTGAATTTTGAAAATTAAAAGCACTACAAGTAAGTGAATAATATTCTAAATAATCTATTAGCAAATTCTCTTTTTATCAAAATATTATTTTTAACAATTTACAATTGTGTGTGTGTGTTTATATATTTCTAGCATTGATTATTTTTGTTAATTAAATAACTATCTCTTGAAGTCATGTTATATAAATACAAGATTGATACAATTGTTTTTACAAGATTCATTAATCCTTTATTCAATAAAAACAATCATGAAAATTGGTGAAAAATTATGAGACATTAGTAATGAATCTCTATATTTAGAAGATTGATTATTTTAAGTGATTCATGAGAGTTTGATACTAAGAAGAGGAATTTATAATTTGAAAATTGATTACTTTCTCGTATGTCTTAAAAATTAATTTTAAAGAAACTATATGCAAAACACTGATTGCTAATGGCAATTTTATTAGACCTTGATATGCCTTGGTTACTCATTGGATAGTTTGATTTTCATGAATTCTATTCTCACGTTTGTTATTTATGGGTCTTATACCTTCTGTTTTGTGGCTTCAACTGTATCTGGTTATTTACCCTCATAGACTGAATGTCCACGTCTGTTTTGTAATTTAAGCCACATTTGGTTATTTATCATTTTAGACTATGTATGCACGTCTATTTCATGACTTTGGTTGCTTCTGGATATTTACCTGCATGGATCGTGTGTCCGCGTCTGTTTCGTGGCTTCAACCATGTTTGGTTATTTATTTTCTAGACTGTGTGTTTGTTAATTATTCTAATAAGTCCATATAAATATGAATTTGATTATTTGACAATTTTATATGCCATTGGTTTTAATTAATAATTTATTTATATTTATTTATTTTATTTATTTGCTTCGTTGAAAGCAAGTGATAGTAATATTTGATATGATAATTTAATGGTTCAATATTTCATTTAAAGTTATATAGAATCCTTTTATTTTGAAGTTTATTAAATTCTTATGAAAATCATTGTCTCTTTAACTCACAAATTTGTTTCAAACTTTTTTTTTATTTTTTTCAATTATTTTGTGGGACGTTGTGTTAATTGAAAATATTTTTGATCTTAAGTAGCATAGCTGATGATCTACATTGTGTTGATCTCTGAGGGGCTCATTGTTGAATTGATGAGAAGGCCTTTTGAGAATACCTTCATTTTGATGTAAATTTTAATGTGTTACACTTTAAAATTATGATTAAGTGTTCCACATTAACTATAGATAGAATTTTGTTCTATTATTTATTTGTTTGTTTGTTGTGGAGAAACAAAGCTCCTCATTTTTTATTTGAGTTGTATATGGCTGCTGTAAAGACTTCAAAAGATACTATTTTTAGGGGAGATTTTATCAAAATTTTTATAAAAAATTTAAAAATTCTTTATTTATATGAAAATGTTATAATGATTTCCCATTCTATTTTAAATGAATTAAACTATTGGATTAAAGTTTTCTTAATCAATGCTTAAAAGATGTATATTAATATATATATGTATATATATATATTTCTTATGTCTAATTTTTAAAGTGTGGCATATCTTTTACTATTATAGTCAAATGTAAAGATATTCGTGTATTGACTGCCGTTAACAATCGGCAACGATTGGCGCTTGGTGGATGTTTGTGGTCAACAATATTCGCCCATGGCAATTGGAGCAGGCAAATTTTTCTATAAAAATAAATTACAAAAATATTTGATTTTGATAGTAAAGTATAAATATTTGTTAAAAATTAAATTATAAAAATAAATTATGGAGAACGAATGCATGTATGGCTAGTTTTTATTCAAATTTTAATTTTGATTTTGATTCTACAGCGTTGAAATTTAATACTAGAAGAGGATCCCTGTCTGTCAATCTAAATTAAATAAGCAGAGTGATAAACACATAATAGTCACGGAGTGAAAATAATTACCAATTGAAGTGGCTGTGATTCTTGAAAGAAAGTTGATCTAGACATGAGTCCCATGAAATTGCCAGGAAACATGCATGCGCAGTTGAAATCAATCCTAAATTTTCTTTTGTTCAATTTTCTTCTACAAAGACTTCAGTCTCATTTCTTTCGTGCATATTGGTTTTGAAATTAGAGGGAAAATGATAGTTTCTGATCGTGGAGATTGCGGCATCATATTCATTTTCTAACTACCTGAAATTATTTTCTTTACATTGCCTTAAGGAATGTCACAATTTTTTTTTTTGAGTTAAAAGGGCTAATAGGCATTTTTGCCACTCACCTATTCAATTAGGAGCATTTAATATTCTAAACTTACATGTGATGTAATTTTTTCCTTCAACATTTGAAAATGTATTAAAAAAATTAACTTTAACTGTTATTAATCAGTAAAATTGCAAATAAGTACCCTATATATAAGAAAATTAATATTAATTTTGTTCCTAAAATAATAGTTGGTCAAAATCACATTTCAATTTTTTACATGGATAAAAAATAACATTTATATCATATTATTTATAGGGTACTTATGTGTAATTTCATGAATCATTTTTTATAATTTTTGAGGTCATTTTTTACAATTTTTAAATCAACTAATTATTAAAATAAACTTTTTTAATGTTGGGGCATTAATGCGTCATTTTTAAATATTGAAAGAAAAAAAAACAAAGAGGAGCAATTTTCCTTTCCTCTCTACCCAACAAAACAAAATCTATACCAAACATAGTATTAGCCACACATGTCAAATTAAACGTAGTGAAGATGTTACGCAAACAGGTCATTGATGATCTTATTTATGTCAATTCTCATTCTCATCTGTTTATCACTTCATGTAGCTCCTCACTATCATTTTCACCTTTTTATTAGTCCATGATCTTATTTTAATCGTTTTTGTTCACTAGCTATTGCCATTCCGTTTCATCAATTCTATTTTTATTTAACAATCAAATAAGTCCTTAAGTGCCTCAAATAGACCGCAACGTTTTGGTCTTCGAAGAACAATATTTGGGCACAAAGAAGAAAGACCAAAGACTTCAATCTAAGCCTGTCCTACAGCTTTATGGGTGGTGTGTCTTATTCTCTCGGCCATCGAATTTCAATGGTAAAAAGTCTTCATGAAAAATTAATTGCTGAGCTTGTGGTTGAGATTTGTGGAGCAAGTCAACTTGGTTCTTGAAGTTAATCACCTAGAGATCAATTCGCCTAATTTCAATTTTTTAATAATAACATATAATTTAGTGACTTCAACTTAAGAAACTGGCAATTGAAAAGAATAAACAGAAGTATAAATTTGGGACCCATGATTAATATTCATAATAAATATCCATAAAATACACGTTCATCATTGTTTCTCTCTCACGTTGACTTGAAATAGTGAGCAGAAAATCTACATATATTTACTTGCAGGCCCAGTTATAGCTATGTACGTTCTCTGAATGCGTCTCAATCAGACTCTTTGTATTAATTGCAGGACCACTTTCTTCCGACTATAGATCCTAACACCTCAACAGTCAGTCAATCAGTCACAGTAGATATGTCTCAAGCACAAATCCAACAAATCTAATTAACTTTACTTTAAGTTGGCCTCATCTCTATTGTTCTGACGCATTTCTTATCTCTAGAGCGTTTCATTTGCGCTCAATGTCAAAATTGTCCCTTACTGTAACACCATGATGATGTTTTCCGCTAAAGGCTTCGTTCTTATCGCTACTATATTATTTCTTCTATTTCTCCTTCGTTCATGTTGTGATTCTCTTGATGATCATAGTTATGTCAATTCTCATTCTCATACCTTTATCACTCCATGTCTCTCGTCTCTATCATTTCCACCTTTTTATCAGTCCATGATCTTATTTTAATCATTTTTATTGACCATCAACCCGGCCATTCCGTTTCATTCTACTTTTATTTAATAACCAAACAAGTTCTTATCTGGCCCCACCAAAAAAAAAAAAAAAACCAAACAAGTCCTTGAGTTCCTCAAGTAGACCGGAACGTTTTGGTCTTCGAAGAACAAATGTTTGGGCAAAAAGAAGGAAGACCACAGACTTCAATGTAAGCCTGTCCTATTAGTTTGTCTTATTCTTTCCGCTATCGATTATAAAGTAAAGTACACGTTCATCGTTGTTTCTCTGATCTCGTATTGACTTGAAAAACCGCGTGCGGGGGGTTACTCATGTAAAATAGTAAGCAGAAAAGCTACATGTTGTTACTTGCTGCACCAGTTATAGCTATGTACGTTATAGATTGTGTCTATAGAGCATGATGCGTCCTTTTTTTCTAATGCGTTTCTTATATCTAGAGCCCTCGTTAATATCAAAATAGTCCCAGATCATAACACCATGATGGTGTTTCCCGCTAAAGGCTTCGTTCTGATCACTACTCTATTGTTGTTTCTATTTCTCTTTCGTTCTTCTTGTGACTCTCTTGATAGAATAACACCAAGCCAAGCCCTTAGAGATGGCGGTATTTTGCTCTCTGACAAAGCAACCTTCGCTCTCGGTTTCTTCACCCCCAGCGATAGTTCTAGAAACCGTTATGTCAGAATATAATATTACAGATTCTCTGAGAAAACGGTTGTGTGGGTAGCCAATAGAGAAAACCCTCTTAATGATACTCCTGGAGTTTTGTCTATCAATACCCATGGAAACATGGTTCTTGGTCTCAATGATATAAATTCAAACCTGAACCCTCTCTGGTCATCCAATGTTTCGATCACATCTCCTAATAATACCATTGTGAAGCTTCTAAAGACAGGAAACTTGGTTCTAATCAAAAACGGAGGAAGGCAAAAGCTTCTGTGGCAGAGTTTTGATTATCCTGGTGACACCATTCTTTTAAATATGAAACTCGGTTTTAATTGGAAAACTGGTTTCAACTGGTCTATTACGTCATGGAGATCCCCAGATGACCCAAGATTTGGGAACGTGACGATTGAACCAACAGGTTATCCTCAAAGATTCATTTATAAAAACGGAGCTCCATTTTAGTGGGGCGGGCATTGGACCGGTCTGAGATGGAGCGGTATATCCCATATGTCAACAAATTTCATCTTCAACATTGACTATGTTGACAATGCCAACGAAGTTTCTGTAACGGCCAGAGTTGGCGATCCATCAGCCTTTATAACGGTGGTGGACAACACTGGTCGCCTTACACGAAAAATTTGGCAAGCTAAAGAGAATGGATGGCTTGAACTTTGGCGCGATCCAGCAGATGACTGTGACAAATACCGACGGTGTGGTTCAAATAGCATATGTGACCCATAAATGGTGACAAGTTTGCGTGTGTGTGTTTGCCTGGATTTGAACCCAAGAACCCACAAGAGTGGTCTGTTAGAAACGGGGCGGGCGGATGTGTGAGGAAGAATAATGTGTCCACGTGTCAAAGTGGGGAGGGATTTGTGAAGGTAGCAAGTGTGAAGTTGCCAGATACGTCAAAGGCACATGTGGATAAGAGCATGAGCATGAGCTTGAAAGATTGTGAAGAGATGTGCATAAAGGATTGTTCATGCTTAGCATATACGAGTTTAAATGAGGTCACAAAAAGTGGGTGCTTGACATGGCATGTTGACATGGAAGATATGAGGACATTTGACAATGCAGGACAAGATTTGTATGTGCGCGTGGAGGCAGCTGAATTAGGTACATTAATACTCGCTTTCTTTTAATGCATATATAGTGGCATATATTTTTTTTTTCTTTTTTTTTAACATTTGAATCCATGAATATGAGCAACTAATGCTTCCAATGTTTTGCTTAATTTTCGTAACTAATGAATGGTGTGGCATATAAAGTTTTTGCATAATACTCCGTTCCATTTTATAAAACATTTTTTAAGGTAATTTAGTGTTCTGAAATATAGAATGATTTCAAAAAAATAAGGTTCCATTACTAATAGTTATCTCAAGATTATCTTTCATTGTTTCACTTGTTAAATATATTTCTTTATATATAAATGATATTTTTGAAACTTCATAGAGAAACTAATTAATATTCAAAATTGAATCTAGTTGACTTCGTTGGTATTCGTAATTTTACCAATCAATCAATCAAATATGTTATAAAATAGGGTGTAGGCCAGAGGGAGTGCAAAGATTTGTTTGTGGGATAGTTCAACAAACGAGTTCATGTACCTTATGGTAGGTCTTGGAGGCTCGCTTATAACACAACTAATGACTTTTCAACCACCAGTTTATTAATGAGATAAAAAGGAATTAAAATAAATAAATAATCATTGAATAATGTTCTGTGAATTCATGTCAGAGTGAAAACAAGGGGCTATAAATGCAATAGGAAGAGTGTGGTGTCACCTGATTTAGGCCGGGCTTGAACATTGCAATTGATAGATATTTTAATTTAATTGGGGCTAGTTCATTTGGCCTTGCTTTGTGCGTCACTACAGTTTACTCTACAAATCTCTAATTAATAAATGATAATTAATCATGAAAATAATCCATTCCTCGAGATCTTTAACCATTTTTTGGAATCGATCAGGATCACATATAGGTGTATAATTGAAAAAAGTGTCTGAATCAAGTATCACTCAACAAAATTATGTTTTTGAAACTTGACCATGCATAGTGCACTTTGAATTCTGAAGCATACATGATTTCTTTGGACATGAATCTGCTTTTACACATATTCTTATCTACAGCCGTAGAGGAAAACAAGGCTTATGGTTCTCTTGGCAAGAGGGGGATGGTGACACTTATAGTTGTCTCTAGCTGCCTAATAACGTTCATGGTGATCTTTTTAGTGTATCGGTTTGCAATGAACAAGGAACAAGGGACGATAAATGGAAGTAAGTTATCTCTCTCTCTCTCTCTCTCTCTCTCTCTCTCTCTCTTACTAGGATAGCCCAATTGCATCACACAAGCCAGGACTTATCAATTTTCTTAATACAGCACAAAGATGTCCTAGAGAACATTTGCTTGGCGTCGAAGAAAACAATTCAGATTTGAAGTTATTTGATCTAAGTGACATAGTGGAAGCAACAAGCAATTTCTCAGATACTAATAAGCTTGGACAAGGGGGTTTTAGTTCTGTTCATAAGGCAGCCATTCTTTAGTTATAAATAGACTAAAAATATCATTAGTTAACGGAAAGGTGACTACAAGAGATTTCCTAGTAATTTTTTCTTGCAACAAAGGTAGATTATATATATATATATATATATTCAAAAATTGATTATGGATTTTAACTTCAGGGTCTACTCAATGACGGAATGGCTATAGCAGTAAAGAGGCTGTTAAACTATTCAGGACAAGACGCTGACGAATTCGAAAATGAGATTTCTTTAATTTCAAAGCTTCAACATAGAAATCTTTTCACGATCTCAGGATGTTGTATCCAAGGAGAAGAGAAGATGTTGATCTATGAATACTTACCAAACAAAAGCTTAGACTCTTTTACGTCTTCTTTCTTTTTTTTTTTTGCATAAGTTATAATGAAATTTTTATGATTCATAACATAGAAACGTTGAAGAATACTTCACTTCTAACAGTTTAAAAATATTATTCAGATCACGCGAGAAAAATACAATTAAATTGGAGGAGACGATTCGATATCATTTATGGAATCGTTAGAGGAATTTTATACCTTCATCAAGATTTGATATTAAGGATAATTCATAGAGACTTAAAGGTCAATAATGTCTTGTTAGACTCTACATTGAACCCACAAATTACAGATTTTGGCATGGCTAGAATATTTGGTGGAGATCAAATTGAAGCAAGCACGAATCGTGTTGTTGGAACCTAATAAGTGCTCAACAGTGTAAAGACAATTTAAGCTTATGAGCAATACATTATATGGATTCCCGATATAATTTTTTATTCACATGGATTCCCAATTCCACAATTTCACATAAAAATGATAATAATTAGTTGTACTCACTTTTGACATCATCATCAACATCAATATCTTTGTAATTGAATAGGACCTCATGAGTTAGATAGGTTAGTGATTTGCATGTGATATAATATGCTAGAAATATCAATTTATCAAGTCATATATTCTTAGTTAAGAATTTAAATATTTCATATTGAAATTTTTGTTTCTAACTTTTAAAAATCTCCTCTTATAGTGGTTACATGTCACCTGAATATGCAATAAAATGATTGTTCTCAATAAAGTCTGATCTATATAGCTTTGGGGTTTTACTTCTTGAGATTGTTACTAGCAGAAAGAATAGTGGCCATTATGATGACATCCTTTCTACTTTAGTTGGACATGTAAGTTTCTGTAAGGAACAACTACTATAAAATTGAACTAATTACTCCTCCATAGTCTAATTATCTAACGCCTTCAATTAATTTAGATTTGGGACCTATGGAGAGGAAGCAGAGCCATGGAAATTGTTGATCCAGCATTAACGAATAAGCCATGCCTTGAACATGAATTTCTAAAATGCATCCAGATTGGACTATTATGTGTACAAGAGTACGCATCAGATAGACCAGCTATGTCAGAAGTTGTTTCCATGTTGGAGAATGACTCAAATCCTCTTCCCCCTAAACAACCAGCTTTTGTTTTCAAGAGAACTACTTGTGATCATTCAAACCCATTAGTTGAAGAAGTTCATTCGGTAAATGGAATGAGTACTACAGTGATTGAAGCTCGCTGAAGCTTGAAACCCACATCAAAACATATATGATACTAATTGAACTCTTTTAGTGCTACTTATTGTGAAGTGAATGATTCTAGCTAGACTTTCCAACTTTTGTAAAAGTTAATGATGCATATATAATTTCCTATTATTGGACTCAAAAAGCAAAGTTGGGTGTACAAATTAAACTTGCTAAATTATGATTAGGCCTGGATGTATGGCAATACCAACAATCAATTATTAATTCCTTGTAAAATTAGATTCTTTCTTTTGGTATCATTGGTCATGGAACATATATATGGTGTGATAACATCTGAAAATTCTTTGAAATAAAGATTCAAAACAGGAACGACGCATATATCTTTTACTTTTGAAGTCAAATGTAAAGGTGTGCGTGTACTGACGGTCGCTAGCAATCGGTAGTGGTTGGTGCTTGGTGATTGTTTGTGGTCAACAATATTGGCCCATGGCAATTGGAGCAGGTAAATTTAGCTATAAAAATAAATTATAAAAATATTTGATTTTGGTAGTAAAGTATAAATATTTGTTAAAATTAAATTATAAAAATAAATTATGGAGAACGAACGCATGGCTAATTTTTATTCAAATTTTAATTTTGATTTTGATTCTTTAGAGTTAAGATTTAATACTAGAAGATGATCCCTATCTATCAATCTAAACTAAAAAAGCAGAGTGATAAACACATACTAGTCACAGAGTGAACATAATTAACAATTGAAGTGGTTGTGATTCTTGAAAGAAAGTTGATCTAGACATGAGTGCCATGAAATTGCTAGGAAATTAACAAGCAAGCAGAGTTGCCATCAATCCTTAATTTTCTTTTGTTCAATTTTCTTCTATGAAGACTTCAAAGTCTCATCTCTTTCGTGCATATTGGTTTTGAAATTAGAAGGAAAATGATTGTTACTGACCGTGGAGATTGGAACATCATATTCATTTTTCTAGCTAGCTGAAATTAGAATGAAAAATGTTGATTTACTTCGAAGTTTGAGGCGTCAATACTATATACCTTGCTTTAAAGAAGTGTGTGGATGGACTTAAGGCAATCTGGGAAGTCTCAAATTAGATAAACTTAGGGCCAATAACTAATATATGTATGTATGTATGTATGTATGTATGTAATGTTGGGTTGTCTATCCTTAGTGGATTAGGCCTATAAATATAAGCCCATTATAAAATGGGGCTTTACTAGAAATGTGGGAAAGGTATGGGACTATAAGAGCAATATGCTTGGGGTCATATGTGCAATTTTCCCCATTTATTTTAATTTCGTGTGGGAATAGTTATTGTATGAACGATGAGTTAACTCCTACTAAGAGTGGGTAGTTTATAAATGAGTGAGAGAGATTCACTCGCTTCA